AAGCAAAATCAACATAGGCTTGAAAATAATGAGACAGCTTCTTATAGGAAGCAAGGCATCCCTAAGTTGGTAAGAACCAAAAATGGACTAGATTTTAATGGCCTAGTCTTCCAAGAGTTGGCTCAAGAGCTAAACTTTGAAAACATTACAAGCTCCCCTCACTATCCCCATTACAATGGTTTTATTAAAGCCAAGTCAGTCAGGTCAGCCCTCCTGAAGTCAAATTTGACCAAGCTAAGTCAGACTTTGACATGTTGCTTCTTTGTCTGGGAGGTACCCATGGTGATCATTAACTCCCCTCACTTGCCAAGTCACTATTGTGGAGTTCAATCCAAGAAAACCTGCCAAGGAAGATTCCAAGGGACCCGTCAAATGAAGACGTGGCCCTCAGGTTGACCAAAAGACAACAACTCCAGATATACTACTACGATAGATCTGCAAAGCCACTCCCAGAAATTACTCATGGAAAAAAGATTATCATTCAACAGTACTTAGACCCCTCTTTGGTGAAATGGAAATAGGCAGGGGATCACATTATCCAGAATTTTTCCCTCAATTCTTGACTACATGGACAGTAAACAGTTTGCAGTTGCTCAAAAATCAACAGAACAGGCTCTGGTGTACATTTTGCACTTAACCCTCAAAGCCTTGGATAAGAGAAACTGTTCTCTGCAGTTATTGTTTGCTGAATTCTGTAAGGGATGCGATTGACAGACTTGATAAACTTTCTTGTATGGTCAAATGGGTGAGAATGCTAGGATCTTCAGAAAAATGTCTGTGGGAAGTGCATCTAAGAACCGGTGGCTCCGGAGATCTAAGTTACATTGAAGAAAGAAGGCCATGTGAATTTCAACGAAAGTAAGCAAGGATCTGAGGAAGGCCTTTTAGAGGTATCACAATCTTAAAAAGTTGACAACTCAAGTCTTTCATGGAAAAAGATCACAATAGAGGTGATTTCTAATGTACCTTGGGTCATGCTCCTTTTAGCAGGGTGGCTCTCATCACTACTAGCGTTTTCTTCATTTGAAGTGCTGGCGCTGGCTCTATGTTGTTCAACTTCAATGGTAGAACTGGCAGTTGCTGAGCTACTAGATTCTCGAAAATGAAAGGGAATCAAGTTAAATGCTTTATGTTAAAATTGACTTAAAAAGCATCTCATTGGAAGTCTTCTTACCTATTTGAGTGAAAAAACTGCTGATTTGATGCTGCATTTTCAAAGCGAACTGATTGGAAGCAAGTCAAAGTGACTGCAACGTGCAACGTACTCCTGAGAATTGAGTTTGTTTCACTTGGAGAAAACCGCTATAATAACACTATATCATGCGGGCTCTAAAATTGTAGTATAGCATTTTTGTGGAGTTCGAAACGTAGAATGCATTTCAATAAATTCATTTTCCTTTTTCATTGTTGTTGTTGTTGTGTCTGCTTGCTACTAAATCTACTAAATACTTAGGCGGAAAAAAAAAAACGGAAATTTCAACCGAGGCGAGTGCCTCAGTTCACCTCATACTGGCTATGGACCTGGCGTAATTAAGGTTTCTCTTTCTGATATGTAACTTCCGGCCTGACTGCTACTGTCAAATGAGAAACACTTATTCACCACAGGGGGCAATTGACCCCAAAAGAAACAGCTAAACACGTGCATTGCGTCTGGGTTCCCTAAATTGATCTTTGATAAGTGGCAAAAAATGGTTGTGACTGAACATGCTTACAGAACCCATTGCACTGATTGTAGGGGTGTGCAAAATCTCATAACATCTGTGCTAACAGTAATCAGTAAGTTGTTTGAGTTACAAAACTTAATGCTCAAGGAGGAATGTACAATGGGCGATAAAATTGGCTGAGACACTTCGCCCTCAAGGGCCTCTCTAATATTTTGGTGACTTCAAAAGGAGAAAATAAAGCGTTCTCTGCCCCATCTACTCCATGCAATGTTGTGCCGCTATTCAAACTGTCTGTAGGAAACAACAAACACCCCAACTTTGAATAAATGGGAGGGGAAGGGGCGCGGACTGTTTTGTTCTCTCAAGTTACCCTATTTTAGGACAATTTTGTCGCCAAGTAAAGCTTAATGGAAAAGTTGCTTAGGCTTTTTTTATTAGGAAGGGGGCTTTTTCACCCAACTACCCCTTCAAAATTACCCCAAACCAATAAGAGCTGTTAGTAAGCCATTTTTCAGCAGGTGAAAGTAGCTTCAAGCTAGCCCTTAGCGACATCCCTGCTCAAGGAGGGATGCATATTCATTTACAGAATGTGTTGACAATAACTGGATGCCATCAGACCTAGTGATCTGGAGTATGTTTTTTTGTAAGTAAGAACAACTTAAAGACTTAAACACCCAAACTGGAGGTTCTGCTCCGAATTCAAATGCAGACAACTATCAGTGTGGAAAGGTCATTGGTTAATATTGTGAATGGCAGTACCTTTATTATGTAGCCCATTGTGTACATGGCAGGCAGCTTTCTGGTATTATTTATATGTACATATGTAGTTAATTAACTCTTTCATTAATTTCTGTTTTCCAGCTGTTGAAAGTACAAATATTTCTTTTATGTAGACGTCATGACTTACAGCACCTCAAAAAGGTTTTCAGGTTTCTTTAACAACTTTAGCAATCCAGTAAGATGTGGCCAACAGACAACTCCCATATCATGTAAAGACGTTTGTAACAAGATGCTTAACTGTTACACTCACAGGTGCACACGAATTTGCCATCCAGGTATACTGCTTTATTATGTTGCCAATAATTCAAAAGGTTAACAAATTAACACGTTTTTTACTATTTTAACTTGAAATTTGGAATTTGTCTTAATATGCAAATTCTGTTGAGTGAAATAAATACTATTAAACTTCTTTAAATAAGATAAGTGGTAAAAGGGAATGTTTTTCTGATTTAATCCATAATAAATGTTTCAGTTTGTGTTCCTTATTATACCAAATAGAATGGTAATAAACTTTTGTTGAATGACCACTATCCTTGGTTGCATGATGTAAATGTAAAATTTAAAGAAGCCCTGTGTTTTTACAGTGATAGTCAATAGGGATATACACCCAATTACAAAAACGTTTCATAGAAAAATGAAAAAAGGGAAAAAGCCAAATAGCTAGTAAGCCTAGTGAATTCTTTTGCATCATCTGCACATGGACGCCGTATTAACTTGTTGGAATTTGAGCTATTGTTTTGAAGCTGTAAAACAGTAAAAAAAATTCCAGCAGGGAAATGCAATGGCTATAAATGAATCCATGCTGAGAATGAGGCGTAATCAGCCTAATTAATTCCTATTTGGCTTTTTCCTTTCTTAATTTTTCCAAGACAATGTTATTAGCAGCATGATATGGAGCCTGAAGACATCGCACAAAGTTTTAGAATCTTAAGAAAGTGTCAGAATAAATTTGACTGCCTTATTTTTGAAATGTTTTTTATCCAAGAACTGAAACCGACGCTTAACAAACAGTGCGATTCAATTCGCGCCAAATTATTTGTTTAGAGTAGTATACCTGCCAACTTTTTCTGAGATGTAGGCGTGAGATTTTTATCCTGGGAGTGCTGGGATTTTTGAAAACGACACGATCATTTCCGAAGATTCCCGAAGAAGTCCAAAGTCTTCCGAAGACGTCCGAAGTCTGCCGAAGGCGAAGTTATCGAGAAAACGCTTATCCACAAAATCAGAGATCGCGAGGGAGATATTGTCATTTATTCATTTTACACATGGTTTTCGTTCCTTACATGGGTCTGAGTTAACATATTTTTGGAAATTGTGTCAAGCAAGACGGCAACAACTCACATTTTTCAATCAGGCGTGAGAAATTGGTCCGCAGGCGTGAGCGGGCGTGAGATCGAAGTTTTCAACCCGCAGGCGTGAGACTCACGCCTAAGGCGTGAGAGTTGGCAGGTATAGAGTAGTTCTTGTTAACGGTGTTTTATTTCCATTGTTTTTTGACTTAATAAATATTTTTAGCACTTTTTACATTTTTACATATTTTATCACATTTTAGCATTCACCACATTTTTATCTATTACAACTTGTTTTTAACTTATTTATGCTAATTTAGAGAACTTTTATACACTTGAAAATGACCTCGGGGAGGTCGAAACGTCGTGATTTTTTATCGCTAATATTTATCTCAAAATTGATTTCTAAGAAACTACTTATTAAAATGTTATTACAATTAGGTGTATGTTTCTGCCAATTAGTGGCAGTTAACCACTTTTTTTTTGAGAAAAAAGCTTTGGTTGTTTATTGTTGTATATACAAAACTGTTGTATTTGTCTAGTGATAAAGTCGCTTGAGATGTAGGTCATGGCATTTCAACTGCTTATTAATTTAATATTCCTTGTCTCATGCGAATATTGGGATTTGCACTGTGAAGCAATGCGTGGTGAGAGAAAATGCACACATTTAACTAAAACTGTCAGTTGTGTAATGATTTAGTTAAAAGAGTGGTAAATTACTGGTAAAGTACTGGTATTTTTTAAATTTCACCTAATGGTAGTTGTGTGCTAAATCTTGGCAGTCAGATTCCTGCCAATTGACAGACATTCGACATTTTCTTTACAGACAAGTTTGCATTTCTTTAGTTACAGATTATGTTTTCCATAAATAAGATCACAAGTGCACAGCGGAAATAACAAAAACTTTAATTTATCACTTGCTCCCCTCTGTTTGCTTATGCTTATGTGCATGGTTCTCTAAAACACATGCTTTAACCTTAACAAGAGTTTCTTTTCACTATGAATCTGTATTCAGTTGGCTAATATTTGTAAGTTTTTGGACGAATTTGTTTCCAAAATCGAATTCATTATGATGATAACTAATCCTCATACATTGAAATCTTTGATATTTCAGACCCCTGTGGCGACTGCCAAGTAAATGTGCTGCAAAGTTAGTGCCTGCATTTTCCTCTTTTTAAGTTAATTGTATTGTTCACATGTCTGTTGATTTTATTGTTAACAATTGAATCGTTTCTAAAGCATCCATCCATAACTTTTTTCATTAACGCAGCTTGCTACTGTGGAAAACAGAAGAGAGTTGCACTCTGTGGAACAGGTTAGTTCAGCTGCATCTTAATTATTTGGCAAGTTCAATTTTTGGACACTCTAAACCTTCTGTATAGAGAGTCTGCGAATTAGTGTACAATATCGTGTTCGAATCCCGTAGAGTAGCATGGATATATGTCGGCGTTATTGATTGGCTATTTTCTTTCGCAGTTTGTGATTAGTCCGATTTGAATTAAGCGTTGACAGGCCAAACATGACTCATAGCTCGTGACCAGAGAGATTGAGCTTGTGATAGTGTGAAACGTGACTTTAGAGACGGTAGTTTCGAAAACGAAGCACTCGAAAACGAAGACCGAAGCACGAAGCACCCAAAACTCGAAAACGAAGCACCCAAATCTCGAAAACGAAGCACCCAAAACTCGAAAACGAAACACCCTATCTCGAAAACGAAGACCCCAAAATCTCGAAAACGAAGCACTCAAAACTCGAAAACGAAGACCCCTAAATCTCGAAAACGAAAACTCGAAACCACTGTAGGTTTAATAAGTGCAACTTTACGTCTTAAATGACGCAATCCGAATCAGGTGGAGGCAGCGGATGCGTCCGCACCTCCAAAGGTCCACAAAATCCATCCCAAGGTTTTATAACCAACTGTTTCACTGAACGTTTCTAGATAGGATATCCTGTATTAATTTTAATATTAGTCTCGCTATACTTGATACATCTTACCTTAATATGCATTTTTTCGGTACACATACATGTTTATGTAGACTTCAAAACTGTCCGTCAGCAGATTTTGGCGTATTCAAGTACGCGTGAGCAGTAACACAAAAGGTCTGAAACGAGGCTGAAAACGGAGTGTGAGGCTCACAGATTACTCTTCGCGCCACGCTTTACCAACTTCTTTACTGATTTTGAGAAAAAAAACCGATTGTTTTGCAGTCTAACATATTGGATATCTATGACACTGCGTGATTAGATCAGATCAGATCCAGGCAGAATTTGTTCTAGGATAACAGCCTGAGACCAGGCTCTATGGTGGGGAACAGGAGAATTCGTTATCGTGCTTGATTCCTGCTGTATTAGCATTGGACTGGTGTTTATAAAGGACAGACCGGTTTCGAGTTTTTGGGTGCTTCGTTTTCGATCTAGGGTGCCTCGTTTTCGAGATTTAGGGGTCTTCGTTTTCGAGTTTTGGGTGCCTCGTTTTCGAGATAGGGTGCTTCGTTTTCGAGATTTGGGTGCTTCGTTTTCGAGTTTTGGGTGCTTCGTTTTCGAGTTTTGGGTGCTTCGTTTTCGAGTTTTGGGTGCTTCGTGCTTCGGTCTTCGTTTTCGAGTGCTTCGTTTTCGAAACTACCCTTTAGAGACCCCTAGAGTAGCTTGAACGGGAGCTTGAACAACAGATCGATGTTTTTCTTGCTCTCTTTTTGCGTAATTTATACAGTGCATGGAGTATTCTACCATTTGACTGAGCTATTTTTTTTTGCCTCTTTGAGTCTCACCTTTAGCTACATTTGGAGGTTGTGAAGCTGGTCTGTTTCATACATATTGAGTAATTAGTTCCTGTAGTTTATTTTTTCGCAAATGTTTTCTAAGAGGATTTGATCACAGATGCATAAATGATTTTCTTTTACCTCTGACTAAGCCTTAAGCTTCTTTATTGCGGCTAAATAACCTAAGTTTCTTTTTAATTTGGTTTTCAACGAAACGCTTGGACCTGAATAGCTACATGTGTATAGTTTTTTTTTTTTTATCGTAAATAACGTGATGATTTCTTCATTTGTTTTGACTCTAGAACTGTCGGCTATAGATTACAGAATACGCAATAGTACAGCTGCAGCGATTGGAAGTCGCTGGGAAACCAGCCGACAAATTTACTAGCAAATTTTGGCCTTGAAGGAATTATCTCAAAGCGTTTTTTTGCTCAGAAGACGGCTCTAAAGTTCGAACTGATCTTTCAATTACTGTAAACGATCCTTGCCAACTCCCTTCTGTGAATTTTAATTGACATGTCACTGCGCCCAACCGTCACGCACACGTAAAAATTAGGCCAATCGTGCGGCTTGTAAGAAACCCGTAAGAAACCCGCCTATCAGAAACGCTCACATATGTCCTTGCGACTCTGCAGGATATTGGAACGAGCTTTTGTGCACTAATTCGCAGACGGACTATACAATGAATGGTTTAGACGAGTACGTGGGCCGGCTGCAACGCAGGCTAGAATGTAGTGATATGGATAACACCCTCCAAGATATGCAGAATTCTCCTTATGATGCAAAAGCTGAATCCAGTAATATTGTCATATTAGTTATCACAAATAATTGTTTCTGACCTCCAGACCTGCATGCCTCTGTGTAAATTCTAATATTCAAAACATTTTGCCTTTTTCTTGTCAGTTTTAGGATATGAAATATAAGATCCCTAAATGAAATATGTCGAATTACACATCAAAAGTTCTATAATATTCTGCTAAAATAGATCACCTTGTAGAGATAAAGATATGGACTTTTCCTAAACATCAACTTATCAAGATATAAAAATAAGTAGTCCCAAGAAATGATATTGTAATGCCACAATCCTCAGTTAAAAGATTGCCTTGTAAATAGCCTGCAAACCGAAGACGCATTTCCGGTCGTCGGAAATGCGTCTGCGGTTCGCAGGCTACCTTGTAAACAGCTCATCTTTAATTTGCTACCACATACACTCGTCTCTTTTAATTTGCTCATACATGGATATATATGGATAACCTGCAGGTTAGCCTAACGCTACACTCCTCTCCCCTTATCAACTTTCCCAGAGCTGCATGGTCCTTTACAAATCACTTGTGACTGATCCGAAAACAACAACAATTAAACACAACAGAGTCCCTAATTACTGTTCATAAACATGCCAAATGTGTACAGTTCTCAGGAAGTGAATTGCATTAACTTGTACCAGGAGCCCATCAAATGGAGCCTCCACTTCCCATACAAGCCCTTGAAGTCAACCCTTTCCCGAGTAGAGTTATAATTAGAACTGTTCCCAGAGGAGACTTCGTGCGCCGACAGTGGGAGGAGCCAATCACAATGACAAAATGACAGAGCTATTGTTCTTCATCAAACTGCAAGAAATACGGTGCTGACTGACCAAACAAGATCATAAGCTAGTGAAATGAGACTTAAGCGTTTTCTTCCCTCACAGTTTTTCTTTCTTTTCTTTCTAGCGGGTAGATTATACTGTGGAGAATTTTAAACTTTGACTATGTTAATCTTAATTTTGGCCGCTTGTCTCACATTAAGGCCATGAAGCTGGTATGTTTCATGTATAATTATTAACTACTTCCTGCTGTCTGTAGTTCTGACAGGAACAATGGTTTTAACAATGTTTTTAACCATTAAGGTTCTTACTTCGGCTAAATGGATGTATTATAAAGAACGAAAACAGCCGAAGGATGCTCTTCTTCATCCAACTTTATTTAGCCACGTTGACGTACGAGACTCAAGGAAATATGACACTTTTTTCAGGAAACAAGCCATTCTATTTAAAAATCTACTGGGGAAAGGGTTGACTCAAGAAATTAATGGAAATGGGGGCTCCATTTGATGGACTCCTGGTTGTACTTGTCTAGTTACCTGGACTGTGCTATAATGCTTATCAGTCCGTGAACACTTCAGGTTAATTAGTCACCCAAGTTCCATATTTGACTTTTAGCTTTTGCTGCCTTGAGGGTCTCTTACAAACACTGAAATCCTTCCCAGGTAAAACTTGTTTAGTCTACTTAACTGTTTGATGGCTGACATCCCCCCGGTTATGATCATCTGCAAAAGAAGATGCCAATTCTGCACAAGGTTCATGTTCCCTCACATCCTCAGGCTTGTCACCATTATCATTCCCAGTGCAACAGCATTCTGAAGTCTAGCGGAAACATCATCCTTGTCTCCTTCCATAGATTCTGTTTCATCAAGCTCAACTGTCTCATTGACGAAAAGTGAAGATATCTCTCTTCCCTCTTCTTTCGGGCTCAACAACTGCATCTACCTTTATGGAATCCATCCTTTTAGTGGGGGTCCCAGGTAAGGCTTTAATCTGTCTGAATGAATGACCTTTCAGCTTTTCTGGATCGGTATGCCCCATTTGACAGTACTGTAATTACAATATAGGGTCCTTCCGAAAGACAGCCAAGTTTGGCATTTCTCTCCTTCTTCCTCTGCACATCATGCAGGCAAGCAGAATCACCAATAACGAATGTTCTACCAGCAAGCCATTTGTCATAGTTCCACTTCTGTTGTTCAGCTGACTTGTTCAAATGACATTTGGCCAAATCATGCTTACTGGCCAATCTCTTTTGAACAGCATGATCTTAGGCCATCAGTAGTGGTGATGCATCAGGTCTCTCAGTTACGACATCCAGGTACCCAGCATTAAGAGGTTGGACAAAACCCATGTTGACTCATAAACAGCACCTCGATAGGTCATCATGCAAGCTGGAAGCTGTAGATCCCAGTCTCAGGTATTGCAGGATCCTCCCATGTAACATTTCAGTGAAGGTTCCATAAAAACGCTCAACCTGTCTGTAGAGGTGGTGCATGTCTTCTCAATTTCTAACGGCCTACAGACTTCATCAAACACCTTTAATTCAAAGTTAATTCTTTGGTTGCTATGAAGTTGCAAGGTACACCAAAACAACAAATTAATGGAGTAGCTCACAAGCTTCTTTGTAACAGTGGTGGCCTCCTGGTCAGGTATTGGGCAACTCTCAGTCCATTTAGCAAAATAGTCACTAACCACCAGGATAAACTTGTTCTTTTGTGGGGTTTTATGGCAGTGGGCCCAGAATGTCAATCGTGATTCATTCCATGGGAACTTTCACCACATACTTCGTAAAAGGAGTATGTCGTTTCCTTTGCTTCCCAAGAGCACTGAAGGTGTTCTGTACACCACAATGACTTGTAGTCGCATGATTATGATGAGTTTCAAATTCAGTTTGTCGAAGCCTTTGGGGAAGAACAACCTGGCCATTAGTCAGATCTCCTCTGTCACTTTCCCGTTTAGGACAAAGCACAACGTTTGTGCGACAACAAGGTCTTCACGACACAACTCTGAGGCAGCACATCTTCCCACAATGGTTTTCTATTTTTGGCCTCTTTCCATCAAAAAATAATCTTCCTGTTCTTCCCTCAAGAAGATGGAAGTCCAGGTTGGTTCTAACTTGACAGTGGGACAATGATCACCAACATATCCTTTACAATTCACAGGTTGTTCAATTTCCTGGTCAGGGACATGCATGGGTACTCGACATGCATCACGGTCTGAATACCCACATCAAGAGACACTCGTTCCTGTAACTTCCAAGCCTTGCACCACTTTTCAATGGAGAACACAGGGTCAACAGGAAAGTGTATCAGCATTCAGATGTCACTGCCCTAGGCGATACTGAATCTTAAAGTCAAAAGTACCCAAGAATTCAATCCAATGTGCAAGCTGTCCCTAAGGATCTTTGATCTGGATGACAAAGCACAAAGCGGCATGAGGCAAGAGGAAGGGGAAAGCATCCTTTATTTTTATATTGTCACTGCATTCAGCTGGAAATAGTCCAGGCACAGCCTTTGGCTGCCATCCATCTGTTTTGGTTGCCAGCAAAACCTGAAAAGACCAGGGGCTTGGAGATTCTTTCACCTTTTCCTGATGTATGATGTCACAACTTCTTTAGTTGATCCTCACACAGAGGTCGCAAGATGAAACTACCCACAACTAAATAAGTGTGTTGAGAGTGTATGAATAATGTTTCCTTTTTTAATATTTCATTGTTGCTTTGAAATACAAAATGATGTTGACTTAGATCTTACCACGCTTAAAGATTTTGTATTTGGAAGAATCTCCAGCACTACTACCTTTTATATTCCCGAGATATCACATTCTGTACTCAAACACCTGTCTCATCGTCCTACAAAAGCCACTCGACTGAATGGGATAAGTACACGTCTGTTATAGGCAGCTGCTCCAGTGATAACAGAGCCACTTGTGAAAATCATAAACCTGTCTCTCAAAGAGATTCTTCCCTACTTCACAGAAACTGGCAAAAGTTATGCTGGTGTTCAAGGCCGGCAATCATCATAATGTTGGCAACCACAGACCTATTAGCATTCTGCCCATGATGTCTAAGATACTTGAGTGACATGTTCATTTTGCATTTTACAAGTATCTAAACTAGCATGGCTTGTTATTCAAATACCAGTCAGGTTTTAGACCGTTCTACTCTTGCAAAACTACCATGATTGATAGCCTGTTAATGAACATGGACAATGGTCTTTTGACAGGACTATCAAGCACTCTTTGAAAAGCCTTTGACTTCATTGACCATTGGCTCTTGCTCAGGAAGCTTGCGACTTATCAACTATAAGAGGCATCGATACAGTAGTTCAAGTCCTATCTTGAAGGGCGACTACAGAAAGTCTGCATTAATGGTGTGCTATCCAGCTCCCTTCCCTAACATCAGGGGTTCCACAAGGCTCAATTTCTGGGTCCGCTCTTGATCATCATTTTCATTAAATCGCAACTTGCACATCCCCCATAATGCACCCTATTTGTCCCCCAAGATGTTGCATAAACTTTGTTTTTCATTTCTCCTGGCAATTACAGCCATCCCAAAAGAAATTGAAAACAATGCTTATGCAAAATTTTGGGGGGTAAATCAGGTGCATTTTGGGAGATGTGCAAGGGTAATGTTCTACAATGCTCTTGTGCAGGCTGTAATGGATTACGGTGCCTGCGTAAGGGGATGATAGCTTCATTGGTTATTCCAATACCATGCTCCGCCTTCAGAAGCAGGCTGTTGGAATAATAATGGCTGCTCCCTGGGATGCTCTTTCTATGGCTGTACTCAGCAATGTAAACATTCTCCCATTACAAAAGCGAGTAGCAAAGCTAAAGGCAAAGATGGTTTTTAAGGCATTTAATGGTCTGCTGCGCAGCTACATTGCAGAGTAGGTTTTAAGATTCAGTGCAGTCCATTCCAAGGAAACAAGAAACTGAAAGAGAAATTTAAAGTTGCCCAGAATTAAACAATAATAATAATAATAATAATAATAATGTTTATAGAGGGAGCCCAACTCGCCAAGGCAGTTTTCAGTGGGGCCCCTCATGCATTAATCTAACTAATTAATTAATGATTACGAAAAAAGTAAAATATGTTTACAAGTAAAACAAATTTAAAAATTTAAAATCTTAAAATCGATTATACAAAAAAATATCAAGGTTTAAAATTAGCTGAGATCTTTTAAAAAAGTTTTCAACTTGGATTTAAAAATAGATAAAATATTACACTCTTTTAAATCATTTGGAAGGCTGTTCCAGTCTTTTGCGGCGTGAAAAATAAAAGTTTGTTTACCCCAGTTTGTTCTGGGTAGGGGTAAGCGAATATCATTAGAGTGCCTTGTATTATATGAACGAACAGCTTGACTTTTAGTAAAATTAAAGTTGAAATCGGTTTCTCCAATAAGACACTTGTGGATTGCAATGCAGCAATGAAAAAACCTTCTTGTGGACAGTGACTTCAAATCTAGACTTTTCAGTGCTTCAGTTGACGAGCTTCGGGGTGGTTGCCCCAGCATAACTTTAGCAGCTTTATTCTGTAGAATCTGTAATTCTGACATGATGGTGTCATTGTTCTTGTCCCCCCATATAACGTCTCCGTAATCAAAAAGAGGGAGGATTAGGGCATTGTACAAGCAAGGCAACTCTAGCTTGTAGCGGCAATAGATTCCTGATTCTCCTAATTAGGCCTATTCTCTGATTAATCTTCATGCTGATAGCATCGACATGATCTGCCCAGGACATATATCATACGGACAGTCATACGGACAGCACTCATTTATGTTCAGGGCTGCAACCTTGTGGAACAGACGTCCTAAGCAACAAACAATCTTGAGCGAACGGAAGTTTGTAAATTGCAGTGGACAATCTTGATAGCAATTCCTTGGTTAGGTTATCTTCAAATTCTTGCCTATGAATCATAAACTTTTGAGTGATTTTTGTGGTTTTGATTTATTTTTTCTGAGGGCCATGTGTACTTTATTGAGAGATATTAAGTGCTATCCTCAAATACAAAAAAGTTTATTATTATTATAATTATTATTAATGCAAATAAACATATTTGTCTTCTTGAATAAATAGGAGATCCTGGCTGTAATATCACAGATAGGAAGTCAGGATATTTTTCATGTAAAGGCAAATGTCTACGGTAAGTGGTTGAAATGACATGCACTGTGACATGCATTTGGACTAATCTTGTGAAAGGTTTGAACCCAGGAGTCATTTCGAAAGTAGGTTGAGTTTGATCGTCCGGGTGAACATAGGACTCTTATTGTTGACAGTGAGTGACGTTTCAACAACCTGTGCGGTAGTCATCTTCGGAGTCAAAGTGAGTTGTATCATGTCAGTTGATGGTATTATACTCTGGTTATTGATCTTATTGGTCAATTACGTGACGATGTTATTTGTCGTCTGTCAGTTAAGCCTTGATGTTTTGGGCTACGGAGACTCGTAATGTAGTTTGTGTGTTTTGATCTGTCTTTTGTCACAGTTAAACAGTCGTCTTTTGTTAGTCATTTTCAATTCTCCAGTCATTCTCTCATAGTAAGTTTTTCTTTGATCTCATCAATAAGTCGTTTGTACTCTGGCAATTGTTGGCTACAGCTCAGTGGCATTTGTTCTAAGTTAGTAAATCAGCTGTGTAAAGTAAGTCGTTGATAGTAGTCTGTAGAATACGTAATACATGTCACAGAGTCCCAGTTGATTTGATGTTTCATCTGTAAATGGTTTTCAGCAATGTGATTGTTGACGTCACCATTTCTCATCGCTTGCTTGTGTTTGGTCAGTCGTGTGCTAAGGTTTCTGCTGGTCTCACCATGTAAGTAGCCTGGCAGTCGCAGCATTTGACCTTATATACTGCTCCCTGTCTGTCCTCCGGTTTGTCTTTGTCCTTGACATTGCTAAGTAGTCGTCGTAAAGTGGTCACGGGTTTGTGCGCAACAGGTATTGTAAAGTTGTATTATACATGTGATAGTTTCAGAGGTGCCTCTGATGTATGGTATAGTCACTGTCTTAACGGGCCAGAGTCCATAGCAGTACTGTGTAACTGCTTGTAGTGTTTGCCATTGTACTGAAAGTACATCAAAGTGAAAAAGAGGTTGAGTAGGTCCATAATGTTGACTCTAGGTAGTGGAAATTCAACAGTAGAGTTATTAATAGCGTTCTCAGCACAGTCTAGAGTCAGTTGAAGTGGGATACTGGTGAACAGTGATGTAACTTCAAAACACACTACTTTGTTGTGTAAATCACTGATTGTCAACTCAAAAATTGTCAACTCTGGCCCGTTAAGACAGTGACTGTACCATACATCAGAGGCACCTCTGAAACTATCACATGTATAATACAACTTTACAATACCTGTTGCACACAAACCGACCAATAACATCGCCATGTAATTGACCAATAAGATCAATAACCAGAGTATATATAATACCATCAACTGACGTGATATAACTCAATTTGACTCTGAAGATGACTACCACACAGGTTGTCGAAACATCGTCACTGTCAACAATAACAGTCCTATTCAGGAACTACGTTCACCTAGATGATCAAACTCAACCTAGTTATGGACTTCTCTTATTAGTCAATTTTTATCCTGCCACGATGAACAGGCATAGACGGTCAGCTGTTAAACTAGCCGCTCATCATGAACCACTCTGAACGCATTAAACATACTGGTAACAACATCATTCAAAGCATCTTAAAAATAATCAACAGCTAAAATAATAGCAAATAGAAATCAATTCTCATCTAATACTATGCAACCAAAGAAAATTTACAAGTTGAATGCTCTTTAAATTATGCAAACATTAATTATTTTAAGAAAAGTCCTGCAAATGGGAGACCTGCATTAAATGGGTGAGCTGGAAAACAAATAACAAATATTGTAAGTCATAATAAACCTCATGTCTACAGTAAAGGTGAAGCAAATGGCCTCTGTGTTCATATAATTGTTATTTATTTGTTTTAGGTTTACATGTTTCCTTAGTTTCAGTGATGTGTTTTTGTTCTAGTAGGGCACTCAAGGGAACTGTTTGGGTGTAGGCTTGCCACCGAGGCCTTCAAACCTTGGCCCTTTTTTTTGGAAAAAATTCTTGGTACCACATACAAATGTAGAACTTTTATAGTCAACCTTTACACACTAAACTCATGACTCTGAAAACCATACCCTGTTCAGCTGCTCATACCTAATTAGGCCAAATCCAGACAAGGGAGTCCCCCCTCCCCTGGGTGTATGTGTATTAATTGTGTATTCTATACCTTAGTGCTTGTGGATGTTAGGATTAAAACATTTGAAATATTATTAGTAATGATGAAAACCCCAAACCATGCTTAACAGAGCAGAAGTGTAAAGGATTATGCTGCTGTTTAAAAAGTATGGAAGATAAAAGATAGTTGGGTCTCCTCATTCCAAAGAAAAGCACCATCTTTGGAGTGTTCATTGTCAACGTACATTGATCAGGATTAAGATGTCATAAATTTGATGTTTAACATCATTACTATTATGTCCACAATACAGGCAATGACTTCCTTCGTACCATACAATTGTACCAATACAGTCCATGCACTTAATATGTAACAACAGCTACAAAAATAAAAATTACAAATTACACCCCCCGGGGATGAAGAATTAAATGTAGAGATCGTAATTGTAGTTATAGATGCAACCCTTGTAGTTACGAAAAGAAAACCTGAAATATTCAGGCTTGTGAGTGAGTCAGACCATTTACCTTTGCGATGCTGGTACAGTGCTCTAACCAATGAGCTAAGAAGCTTTGTACCTGTAATTCAGGAGCCCTACATGTAGTTTAAAAGTCCTGCCCTGTCTGTCAGCTAGATTTGTTCTCAGTAGTCCCAAGTTCCTTTCTTCAGTCATGATCGTGAAATGACAACTGGTTTTTAAACATAAATACCTTAAAATTCCGAAAATAAGCCCCTCTGTGTATAAGCCCCTCCAAATATAAGCCCCCAAAAGCGATGACGTAAAAAACCCTCCATTAAATCGCCCCTCCAAATATAAGGCCCCCAGGGGCTTGTATTTGGAAAATTGTCCTTGAATACAAAATAAAACCAAGAAAACTTTAGTGAAACAAAATAGCCTATTGACAGCTTGTCAAGTTTTCTTGTGCAGAGAAACATTTTTTTTTCGTTATCAGAGTTCTTGACTGTGGTAACCATCACTGCGAAGAAACGTGTCACCAAGGTGCATGCTGTGAATGCCCTGTGAAGCCTTCACTTGTTTTTTCTTGTCCCTGTGGTAAAACATCTCTCTCTGATATTCTTGGAAACGATCATGCCAGAACTTCTTGCTTGGATCCAGTGCCCACATGCAAGTCAACTTGTGACAAGATTCTTCCTTGCAGTCCTGAGATAACAGGTAAAATTTGCCTAGTACATGATGCTAATTAACTCAGTCAGAACAATCAAGGATTGGCTACATTAGAATAAATAAGCTAGATTGCAGAAATAACTTTGTTATCATTTTTATCTGCATTTAAAGCCACGCATGTAATAATTACTCCACGAAGATAATGCAGCATAAGGAGTTTGCGCTGAAAGAGGAAAAAAAGGCAGTTTCACTTTCCAGTGGGTAAAAACTGGAGACACTTCCAAAGTTTTTCACAGAAAACAGCTCTAAGATTCAAGAAAAAGCATGCATCTCTTTTTTCTTAGAAATCATTATGCTTTTGCTCCTTTCTGTTATTTTTTTTTCCAAACTCGTGCTTTTTTCCTCTTCATGTTAAGTCGAGAGTAGGCTAGTTCTTAATTAGTGAAAGTTTTCTACAGCATGTGAAAAAAGTCGGAAGTAGCGCCTCCATTGCACCTGATCATCAAACGATCTACATCGATTTAACACTACCGCAAAATATCAAGAGAGGACAAGGGTTTCGGAA